GCGGAGCAGGGAGCCCGATGTGGGGCTCGATCCCAGGACCCTGAGATCATGACCTGAGCTGAAGGCAGACGCTTAACGACTGAGCCACCCAGGCGCCCCCTGAATAGAGATTTTTTTAAAAAAAATCCTTGCCATTGAAAATCAAGGTTCCAAAGACTAGTTAATGGCCTGAAAATGCTTGTAACATATTCTTAGGGAAGAAGAAATCCAGTACAAAAAGTTTTCAAAGTACTATTTCATTATTTAAAATATATAATGTATAATTGTAATCTATATGACACTTTTGTGATTTTTATACACGTAGGTTCTTTCTAATTTTTCAACCATTATAGATAGCGCTATTGTGTGACACTATAAAACTTGTCTGCATCTCTGATTGTTTCCTGAAGGTAGATCGCCAGGAATGGAATTGAGTCAAGAGGATTTGTTAGGGTTTCTTACGACAGTAGTCTCATATTATCCTCTCAGCGATGTTTACATCCCCATCTGTGGGATATGAAAGGATCATTTTTATTATAGCTTTGATAGTAGAGACTATTATTGCTTAAAAAATCATTTTTGATTGGAAACACCTAAATATGACTTTAATTTGTAATTCTTAGCTAGTATGGTTTTGCATATTGTCTAAATTTTATCCACAAGGATATTCTGAGTACCTCATTATGTATCTTGTGCAAGTCAAGATATGTCTGTGGCAGTTTGTGGGTCTCATTGTCTAATAACTTATCGAAGAAGGAAATAAGATGTAATCTTGTTGACGTCATTGTAGCTACTGGTGGATTCTTTTCTGTGTGGTCACAAATTAGCTCTAATCCATTGAGCTGCGTTCTGAAAGCCCTTGAAAGCCCTAAGTTTTTAGAAAGGAATCTCAGCAGCTTCGAGGATGCAGGGTGGAGGTTACTGGGGTGATGGGAGGACCTGAGGAGGAGGTAGAGTGAGCTGGACCTCAAGCATCCACCTCTTCTTCAGCCAGGGCGGCTCAGCTTTGACCTGATTTCTGTGCTTAGGGTCTTTGTAAGACACATGAGACCAAAGGATTCCATGACAGAGCTGCTGGGGTAGATGGAGTTTCAGTGTTTTTGCGCTTTCCTTGTCCCTGTGCATATTCAGAATGGTCAATAGAGATTCTGGCTTTACCTCTACATGATTTTTCTGTAGCCTGAGCTGTGAGTTTGTCTATTTTGGACAGTTGACCTGTTACCATTACACCTTTAGGCAGTGGACTTCTCACTTATTATTTATATCTTCCTGGGGGTTGGAAGTCCAGCACCCTTTTGATTGTCATTTGTAATTTGTTACTAAAAGTTTAAAAAACTCATTATTTCAATGAATATTTATTGAGGACTTGCTAAGTCATGTCATGTTAGGCATTTTAGAATTAAAGGATTTTTAAGGCAACATCCCTGTCTTTGAGAAGCTTTTATTTTCAATGATAGTGAGGAAAGTTATCAGTAGGTCTCCATTTATACCTTATTGCTCATTTGAGTAAAGCCATAGGTTAACATTTTGTAAGAAATAGCTGTGTGAAATGTGCTCCTATGTTTGCTGTGAGAATATTGTTGAGGACGTGTTCATTTGTCAGTCTTTAGTGTCTGACCTGTCAGTAATAGTATTTAGCACAGTTGACATTCCCCCTACCTTGATTTCTTCTCTTGGGTTCCAGGACACTACAGTCTTACAGAAGTTTCCCTCTTGCCTTTCTGTTTACTCCTTTGGCCTATTTTGCTAGTTCCATTTCAGTCTTTTGAACTTGTAAATGTGGGGGTGCCCTAGGGCATGGTTATTGAACATCTTCTCTTTTCTTTTGACACTTACCTCCTTGGTGATCTTATCTAGTTTTGAAGTTTTAAATAGTATATCTTTGCTCCTGAATTTGTATCACTTGTCCAGGCCTTTCTCCTGAATTCCACATCCCTATAATGCAGCTTCCTACTTGACATTTCCACTTGGATGTCTAGTAGGCACATCAGACCTGACATGGCCAAAAGTCAGCTCTTGATTTTCTACCTATGGCCCCCCCAAACCAGCTTATGCTGTAGTTTTCTCATCCTCAGTTACAGGCAACTCTTTTCTTCCATTTGCTCAGGCAAAACCTTAGGTGTCATCTTAAATTACTCCTCCCCCCGCTACAACATGTGTTTTCCATTTCAAGTCCTGTTACCTTTATCATCAAAATATATCCATATTCTAGGGGCGCCTGGGTGGCTCAGTCGTCGGCCATCGGCCTTCGGCTCAGGTCATGATCCCGGGGTCCTGCGATCGAGCCCCGCATCAGGCTCCCTGCTCAGCGGGGAGCCTGCTTCTCCCTTTCCCTCTGCCTGCTACTCCCCCTGCTTGTGCTCTCTCTCTTTCTCTGTCAAATAAATAAATTAAAAAATATGACCACTTCTCACCATGCCCCCTGCTAGCCACTTTCATCCAAGACCCATCATCTCCGTTCTGGATTTTTGCAGTAGCCCCCTCATGCATGTCCTCGCTTCTGCCTTTATCCCTGCTTACAGTCTCTTTTGAATATAGCAGCCAGAGCAAATCTGTTAAAATGTATGGAGTCCTGCCACTTCCATATGCTTCTTCGCTTCCCATCTCACAAAGAATAAAAGCCAGAAGTCCATATTATTACCTGTAGCCTGCTTCCCCGCCATTTCCTCTCCAGGGGTCGCATCTCATGTTCTGGCTTCTTCCTTTACACCGTTCCAGACTCTGCTGTCCCTGCTGTTCCTTGAGCACGCCGCCGTATGCACTCTCAGGGCCTGTGCACCAGCTGTTCCTTCTGCCTCAGGGCTCTGTCCTTCCCCCAGATCACCTCGTGGCTAGCCTCCTTCATGTTTTTACTCAAAGGCACAATCTCAGTGAGGCCTCCACCCCTTTATGTTCTCCTTCCCTGCCTTTTTTTTTCTTATTTTTAAAAGTACTTACCACAATTTAATATTTCTTCTTTTCTTCTACTCCATTGAAATGTAGGCTTTATGAAAGCTGGAGATTTTTCTGTTTTGTTCTTTGTTATATTCCCGGTACCTAGAACAGCGACTGGTTCAATGAGGGCTCAATAATTGCTGAATGAATAAGTGAATGAGGATATTATCTTCTGTAACTTTTATTGTCTTCTTATGGATAGGATGAATTTTTTTTTAAGATGTAAGTATAAGCAAAGGCTGTGCTTCTTCTGAGTGAAAGTTTATTTTATTCTTAGGTACGCTGTGAATTTTGTCACTCGTTTCGTTTTTGCTTTGTTGCTAGAAAGTTCTAAATGTACTGTGCTGTTTTCAATACTAGCATTTTCTATAAATTAGGATTTTTTTTTGTGTGTGGGTGCAGTAATCTTATCTGTGGCTTTATCTTAGTTTGTTAGTTTTTTCCGAGAGTGTTTTTTTTTTTTTTTATTCTTATGTTAATCCCCATACATTACATCATTAGTTCTAGATGAAGTGTTCCATGATTCATTGTTCGTGCACAACACCCAGTGCTCCATGCAGAACGTGCCCTCCTCAATACCCACCACCAGGCCAACCCATCCTCCCACCCTTTCCGAGAGTGTTTTTTAAAAAAAATGTATCTCTTGTTTAATCTGGATCCTGTTATACCTGTTTCTACTAGCCACCTCACATCCTTTATTGAATAAGGCAGAGTATATATAAATGAAATGTTTTTTCCTTCTCTTTCAGGGAAGTACGGTAAACATGAATCTCATGGGATGGCTGTATTCTAAGGTTGAAGCTTCGTTGGGTTCTGCTGGTCACACAACCCTTGGGGTCACACTTATGATTGGTTAGTGGATCCTGATGTCCCTTGTTTTGTATCTTCTGAAAGCATGTCATAGGAAGTATTGTGGCAGAGAGGAAAGAACACTGGAATCAGGATTAGACCACTTTGGTTATAGTTTTGCCTGAACAGTTCACAAGTTCTTGGACAAGCTAACTAGAAATAGTGAATCTTTTACCCGGTTTGTGTTACTGTTTCCATTTCCTTAAAATGGAGGATTTTGTCCCACCTTGTCTACTTCAGCGTTGTCATGATAAGCAAATAAGAGATTGTGTTTGAAAATTCTGAAAACCGAGACTTTATACATGCAAGGTGTTACTAGTCTATAGCAGAAGGATAATTATTTCCTTTTGATCAAATTCAATTAGTATACCTATGGAGCTAAGATGTTACAGAAGTTAGAGGTGATATGATGTTGTAGGAAATCCACTAAGTTGGGAGTCAGGAGTCTGGGTTCTAGTCCTGGCTCTAACTAGTTCTGTCATCTTGGACAAGGAAGTTAACCTCTGTGTCTTAGTTTTCTGTAAAATTTCAGGTGTTTGACTAAAAGTGTATAGGTCCCTTCTGGCCCTAAGTTCTGTTAGGTAAGACTTGGTTGTGCTGGTTGCTGGGTGGATCACTGAGAAACATATGAGGCCTTCTGGAGTTCCCACCTGTGCTTTTCTCTGAGCAGTGGATTTTTGTAACTGAGCCCCCATAGTGGGTAAAAGGACCACTTGCAGAGCCCTAAAAAGACCTGTGGGATGGTGAGTTGAACATTCTGTGCCATCTTTTATTCCTTATAATTCCTTGGTATAGTTTGGTAGAGGGCAGTGGAGAGGAAATCTTGAACAGGTAACCTGTATCTAGAGCTTTCTCCTTTCCTCCCTGACCTCTCAAATCCCTTGCCTTATTTAAAACCTCTTTTTCTTACTCTTAGATGCTCTTCAGTATTCCTTCCAGTCCTCTCCACAATGGAGAATTTGGGAATTTTAAAGAATTTTAGCACCAGAAAAGATCTGTGCCATCAAGTCAAAGCCTCTAATTTTACAGATGGAGAAGTTGAAGCCCTGAGAGGTTAAGTTCTGTGTTCAACATCATTCAGCTTGTGGCAGAAGTAGAACCCACATCTGCTGACTTTTATTTTAGCAATTTTCAGCTAGGCCACATTATGAAATTAAAGATTCATGTTTTTACTGAGCTTCTTTTAAAAATCTTGAGAAGTGTAAACTTTATTTACTCTTTATCCTGATTTGCTTTAATGATACGAGATCAGCATTAGTGAGTAATGCTGATTACACAAAGGAAGGAGAGCCTGGCTGGGCTGTGCTGTGGGAGGGTGGGGCTCTTTGGGCTGCTAAAGGGTAGGAGCAAGGGTTACAGACTTCGGGAAGGAATCAAGAGGAAGATTTGATGATCACAGAATCAGACTTTGCTTTTATAATTTTTTTCCCTCTAGCATCTGTCAATAATCAGTGCTTAGACTTAGTTAAGAAATTAGTACAGATTTGCTAGCGGGTCATCCACTTTCTTAAAGTCTGTATTTGCATTACAAGACTAGACTAGTATGTTCTAGTCTTTTCCCTCTAGTCTCCAACCTTCTACTGGGAAATAATATAGTAAGAGTGACTGTTGTTTGTTGAGTACTTATCACATGCTATTTCTTTCCTTCTGTCCTGATTTAGTAATTGTAGGATTTTCTTAAATGTGTCTAGATGCCAACCATTTCATTTGCTAAGTTTTCTGCTGTTAGTGTAAGGTACTGCCTCTTGGGAACCTTCAGTCGTTCTCTTTTAAAAATCTCTCTCTTGGGCACCTGGGTGGCTCAGTTGGTTAAGCGACTGCCTTCGGCTCAGGTCCATGATCCTGGAGTTCCAGGATCGAGGCCCGCATTGGGCTCCCTGCTCGGCAGGGAGTCTGCTTCTCCCTCTGACCCTCCCCCCTCTCATGTGCTCTCTCTCTCTCTCTCATTCTCTCTCAAATAAATAAAATCTTAAAAAAAAAATCTCTCTCTCTCTTTTTTATTATAGGGGGTATAACATGTATTCTTTCACTAATCTGTGCCTTGGTTCTCGCTTACTTGGATCAGAGAGCAGAGAGAATCCTTCATAAAGCACAAGGAAAAACAGGTAGGTCTAAATTCAAATAAAGTGGGGCTTCAGGAAATTGCAGACCTTTGAAGGTAATTTCAATGAGATAAGTTCCTAATGTAGTGTTGTAAGCCCAGTGAGGCTTAATACATGTTTTTTTATCTTTTATTTTCCAGTCTGTTTCTACTTGTCTAAATTTTAAGTTTTCCCAGAAGCTATGTTCCAGTAATTTACTGAGAAAAGTATTTTGTACACTGAATGCAAAGTTTAATCACATGATAAAAGAAAAATAATCTTGACCTAGGTATGCAAAATTATGCTGATAGCTTCTTCCCTTTCTTTTCAAGGTGAAGTTATTAAGTTAACTGATGTAAAGGACTTTTCCTTACCCCTGTGGCTGATATTTATCATCTGCGTCTGTTACTATGTGGCAGTGTTCCCTTTTATCGGACTCGGGAAGTGAGTATTCTCGTGCATCCCATTTTTCTTGACTAAATTATAGTGAGAATTTAATCACACAAATGTAATTTTTTTAGCTATAAATCTTGCTTTTCTGGTTATAGTTTATATTTTCACAGGAATTATTTTACATCCTGGTATATAACTGATTTTCTTAGCTTAAGGTTTAGTATTTGGCTTAATACTTTCATTATTTTTTTGATGAAATACCTAATAGTTTTTTATTCATAATATGGATTTATTTTAATGCTTTGAATTGGATTAGTATTCTTTTTTATTTCCTCTTTATTCTTTCATTTGGAAGCCTATTCTTGAGAATGGAAACAGTGCTTTGGCTCATTTTGCCTGGGCACATTTCCATTTGCTAGGACTATAATTATGCTAGGGTTCAAAATCAAATTCTTTTTTGTGTTATCACTAACCTCTCCCTTTCCACTGGCAGCTGCTTGAAGTGTGTGAGTGTGTTTATAGGGGTGTGTCTTTGTTATCAGAACCTTTAAATTCAGACTGTTTTCAGTAATTTGAAATGAACTCTAGGCATTATCTTGCAAAGAACTTACCCAGTCCCACTTTAAGGAAAAGAAGCACTCTTAACGTCATGTAGTAATTCATTTGGTTTTTTGAAAAGTTATGCGTACTGTTTGCTGTTTATTTAAAATGGAAAAAATCAGGGTACCTGGGTGGCTCAGTCAGTTAAGCGTCTGTCTTCAGCTCAGGTCATGATCCCAGGGTCCTGGCATCGAGCCCTGCATCAGGCTCCATGCTTAGCGGGAGCCTGCCTCTCCCATTCCCTCTGTCCTTCCCCTCTGCTCTTGCTCTCTGTGTCCCTCTCTCTCTCTCAAATAAATAAATAAATAAAATCTTTTAAGAAATAATAAAATGAAAAAAATCAACATCAGTGTATTTTATTTAGTGAAATATTTACATAAACCCTAAAGCTTTCGCGCCAGTTGTTTAAAGGTGATGGTTAAATAAGGTGGGAAAACAGTATCAAGAAGGAAAAGTTGACTAAATTTAAGAGTTATTTTTATTTAGTTTTATTTTGCCTTTAATTATTACAAACAGAGTAGTTCTCTCTAACGTGCTTATTTCTTTCTCTCTCTCTCTTTATTTTAGAGTTTTCTTTATAGAAAAATTTGGATTTTCTTCCCAGGCAGCAAGTGCTATTAACAGGTATTTCATTAATTCTCTGAGTGCTTATTTGTGCATAGTGTGGGTCTTTAATTATAACCAAATGTTCTGAGACAAAAAAGACATGTGACTTAACATCCATAGTGTGAAACCAAGATTATATTGGTGCTTGATCCTGAGAGACCATCTTTGCATTAATGGAAAACTGAAGAAACCTTGGACTACTCTTTAATCTTTAAATTTCTGTTTACTGATGACCATTTTAGAAGAATGCTACATTAAATGAGCTAGGATTTGCTTTGCCTAATGGTTTTAGGGACTTTTTGGATTTTTTTTTTTTTTTTTTGGTAGCTGTGATACATTTCATTAAATATCTTTTATATTCTCTGGGCAGTGTTGTATATGTCATATCAGCTCCCATGTCCCCGATATTTGGGCTCCTGGTGGATAAAACAGGAAAGAACATCATCTGGGTTCTTTGTGCTGTGGTGACCACTCTTGCTGCCCATGTCATGCTGGCCTTCACGCTGTGGAACCCTTGGATTGCTATGGTAATGTCACTGTGGATGCTTGCAGAGCACAGGGCTTCAGGGAGGACTCTGTAAAGTGCACGTCAGGAGCCACACTCCGCTCTTCTGATAGCAGAGCTCGTGCCAGTGGGAAAAACAATGTCTTGATTGCAGTTTCTACAAAAGAACTATTTTTAAAGTAAATAAATGTTAATTATTAATGAATAAGGTATCTTTAATTGTATTTGGCTTATTTAATACAGTAATCTCATTGCTGAAATTGAATTTGAAATAAAGTAGTCTTATAAAAGCCATAATGCTTATTAGTTCCATTTATTTTCCTCTACTTCTTTAAAAAATTCTTCCATCGTGGGTGGCAAAAAAAAAAAAGTCTATCAGCCCAGGATTCATGATTTTGCATTCTTTTGTCTTTGACCCTTAGAAGGTTAAAAAGTGATAATGAATTCATCAGGTTTTTCTTTAGAATGTCATTTTATTTTTATTTATTTATTTTAGAATTTTTTATTTATTCATTTGAGACAGAGAGATACAGAGAGAGAGAGAGAGAGAGCAGGAGCAGTGGGGAGAGGCAGAGAAAGAGGGAGAAGCAGACTCCCTGCTGAGCAGGGAGCGTGACATGGGGCTCGATCCCAGGAGATCATGACCTTAGCCCAAGGCAGACGCTTAACCATCTGAGCCACCCAAGTACGCCTAGAATGTCATTTTAAAGACCACAGGCTTAAGTGCTGCATTTCTTACCTATTAACAAAAGAATATCTTGGGCATAGATGTTTGTTCTACACTTAGTGAGATTTCTGTAGGACTGATTCCTGGAAGTATAAATGCTATAGCAGAGGCTTTGCACATTTTACATCTTAACAGACATTGTGAAACTTCTCTAAGAAGTTCTTACCCATTTATAGTTTTACCAATAATACACAAATGTGTGTTTTTAGTATCCTAGCCATGTTGGGCATTGGGCCTATTTCAGTCTTTGCCAATATGATACGTGCAGATGATCTTATTTAAACTTAAATCATAAAGTTTCTTTTTTAACTAAAGAAAAAGTCAGCATTAGGTGATAGTTTTTTGCGCTGCCCTCCAGTTAGGTGTTGATGACCCTAGGTCACACTGTTGGCGTGATGTTGCCTTGATTACTTAATTTGTAGTTAATAAATATTGGAAAATTAGCTTGCCTGAAACATTGGTAGTAACTTTTGCAAAATAGCTTTATTTTCTTGTCTAGTCTTTGATTGTACCCTGGGCCCAGTCAGTTACATGTGCATATAATATAAGATGGTTAAGACAGTGTGTGTGTATTTTGTCACGAGAGGGATACCGTTAAGGTCAGGACTTTTTTGTGTCAAACGTGAGTTTTAGCATAATTGCAATAAAATTTGCATGAATGTTCATATATTTGCTATTATGCCACTCTGGCTAGTCTGCATCAAAGGAAAATCACCTTTTGGTTAATGTTAAGACTTCGCCCCTTTTCTGCGTCACTTTCTGCAGTGTCTGCTGGGACTCTCCTATTCGTTGCTTGCCTGTGCATTGTGGCCAATGGTGGCGTTCGTGGTTCCTGAACATCAACTGGGAACTGCATATGGCTTGTAAGTGTTTACACCATCATGTCTCTCTCTGCTCTAGCAATTTAATTATCATATAAAACTCCAGGTCTCCTGAATCTAGTCATCTTCAGGCTTCTGGGACAGCTCTGAGCCTGGAAACCACCAGAAAATCAGTTAACCTATTTGTGATATTATTGTGGCGACAGAAATGCTCCAAGCCTCCAGGAAGAGAGCTGGTGTTAAGCTAACCCCGAAGAAGTGATTTCTGACCTTGCCATTGACTGCCTGTTTATCTGAGGGCTTCTTAGTGAGAAGTTGGGTTCTGGTGTCTGGCCCGAAGGGCAAAAGGGGGAAACTGCACCCATGGTTGGTATTCACTTAGCTCTTACTTTCATTCCACAGGAAAATGTTGAGCTTATATTGCACTTAATAAGACAGGCTCCCTTACCTTTGAGCATAACATCTAGTAGCAGAAACAGTCATGGAATGAAAATACCTATTCAGGTCGTCCCTAGTTAAAAACACCTTTTAACACTAATAGTATGTCGTTTATAGATACTGATATTTAAAGTGAATTGTTACTGTGAGCAGTAACTGTAAAAAGATAAACAGGGAGTTGGCAGGAGTTTTTGGAAGTACCAAGAGGACTAACACTTAAACGGGAGAGTAAAGAGCAGCAGGGATGATCTGTGGGTGCATCAGCCCCTTCTTCTGTCTCAGCTTCTTTGTTTCTGGTCCTGCTATCCCTGGGCTCGTGTAGCCCATGCAAAAAGAGTGGTGTGTAAATAATTTTTAGTGCTTTTTGGAAAATAATGTGAGTAGTGTTTTTATTTTTAAATGCCAATCAATAAAGATTTATCTAAGTTTTACTTCGTAATTATGATTACATAGGAATCATTGGGAAGAAGTACATGTTTTTTAAGGACCCTGTGTTTTTTTCACTTCCAGTGTCACTTTTATCTGTGGTCTTACTTTATGTGGTGAATCGTGCCCAAGGTAGGTAGAATTCAGACATTTTCTTCTTAAACCACTCTGGATCATCTTGTGGGGTCCCTGGATTGTCTGCATTCTTCTTTAGAGGCCAGTGCTTTAGTTCGTGTAATGATGACATTCAGTTCCATAGTGATGGAAACACATTTCATTATGTAACATACAATTATGTATTTTGGAACTTCAGATTTATTAAAATTGTTGTCGTGTTCTTTCTGGCCAGTTCAACTTAAGTTTTGTAATATAAAATTTTAGATGTTCTTTTTATGTTAGCATAAAGAAGTATGGCATTTTTATAATAACCTAAAGCCATTACTGTGTTATTGTCTCATGTTTTAAAAAAATAAGTAAACAGATTTATAGTAATAGTTTGCATTTTAAGGTTGAAAGTGTTTGCTACAGAGTGAGGTGTTACAGATTTTTTTCTTTTGCTAGTGTATTTGTACTTTTTTCTTTCTTCTGTATAAGATTTTGATGTTAGCCTTATTAATTTTTCTAAGTAGCTTGCCCCTAAAGGTTGTTATGTACTTAGTAAAATGTATATACCTGCTGTTTAAGTGATTTTAGGTCATTTCCTTTAATTTCTCTTAATTTTCACTATTATTAAATATTAATACAGTGTCCCAGTTAATAAGAAGTAAAGCAGTACATAAGTCCAAACTTAAAAAATGCTCACATTAAGGACTGATTATTTGTATTTGTATCATATAAAGATTCTTAAAAACCAGTGTTTTCCCTTGGGATGGTCCCAGGAGATAAACTATTTCTTTCTCATCTTCCATAGCTTTTTCTGTTACTTTAAGGTATACCAGTGCAAGTGTGTGTGTGTGTGTGAATTTTACTTTTAATAGTTGTGTAGAAAAGGTTCTATGCTTATTTGTGTTTTAGGGGGGAACCTAAATTATTCTGCAAGACAAAGGGAAGAAATAAAACTTTCTCATGCTGAGTAAGTATTAAAAGAGAAAAGTTATCTTCTTTTGCAAATCTCTAACATTAGCATTTTATTTCAAAGTATTAGGTTTGGACTTTTAAGAAATTAATCTTCTTGAGATTCGAGAGCTAGCGATTATCTTGGAACTACCATAACAAAATTCTTGTTTAGAAAATTTAAATAGGATGTATATCAAGGGTTAAAGTGAAGGGGGAAAATAATTGGGTTTTAAATTGCTTTCTGAGAGAAAGCGAGACCTGTAGTATTTGTAATGTATTAGAGGAAAGGTCTTTGTCCTAAGCTTCTGTGCTGGGCTTACCCTTCCATTCTCTGATCTTTTCATTTTCTCAACTATTTGAGATAATTTTTCATCTTCTCCTGGTACTAACATTCTAACTTAAACAAATTAAGTATATAGTGTGGTATTAAGTTAAACTTATTTTTTCCATGAGTGTATGCTAAAACGTAATAGTGTTTCTATTTCCTGTTATGATTTCTGATTTTTTAGATATACAGTTTTTTACGACTTAAAAAATTTATTTGTAAATATATACCATGTAACTATAAGTTTTGTGAATTTTGTATGGGTTAAAATCTTGTAGAACAAAGCATTTTTTGGGAGGTGATTCTTGGCCATTTCAAATTTCCTTTTAACATAGTAATTCTAGAAATACATCTTGAGAAGATAATCAGAAGTGTTACAAGTTTTAAGTATCTTTATGACAGGCTTACGTCAAAAAATTGGAAACAACTTGAATATATCTATATATAATATGTTGTTAAAATCATGTCTGAGGATTTTAAAAGTCAGAAATAGTTCCCTCCCTGCACCAAGTCAGAGGTACTTACCATGCCACATGTTAAGTAGACAAAAGATTAAAATGCAAATGTAATATCCTAATTTTGTTCAAGAAAAAGTATGCAGGCACATGTATTTTTTACTTACTTACTTGTATATAATAGAAGAAATACTGAAAGGAAAAACCCCAAATACTAACAATTCCATTTGAATGGTAAGGTTACAGGCATACTTTTTCCTTTGTTTTTCTATATTTTCCAGATCTTCTATGTTGATCTTAATGTTACTTTTATAATCAAGAGGATTTAAGAGATTACCAGCAAAGTGTGCAACCTTTAATATGTGGTAGTACATGCTTTGCAATGCTAATGGTTTTTATATTGTAAACCCATGAGGCCTCCTGTTTTTCCCTTTTTGATAATTCATTGCATTGTGTTTTGCAGATGAGAAGCTTAAATGACTGTGTCATGAGAATGGGCTGCACACATCATTGGTTTGAAAACCTCACTTTTTTTTTTTAAATTTTAATCTAGAATTTAGTCAGGAAAAATAATGGTCTGGAAATATATATTTATATTTCAAAAGCACCTATTTCAAAGTATATTTGTGAGGACTATTTTAGCTTGTGTCTTATGTACTGTGTATTGCTAAAGAATTCTACTTTGGAGTAGGCTAATCAGTGAAGTTTAGAAAGTTTCTCTGGAATATGCAGGTGAATTTGAGTAAGGACAGTAAATAATGGAAAACTTGGATCTTGTATTGAGATCCAATTAATTTTCAGAAGGTGTTTCTTAAGGATATCTTTGGCTTTTTTTTTTTAATCTTAAAGCAAAAAAACTTTTGAAGGTGTAGAAGGGATATTTTATACAGAATAAACAATGGCATTTTAATAGGCATTCCCTGTTTTTTTTTTTTATTAATTCTTATCTTAATCCCCATACATTACATCATTAGTTTTAGATGAAGTGTTCCATGATTCATTGTTTGTGCATAACACCCAGTGCTCCATGCAGAA